TCACTTGAGATGCAATCCCACCATGGTTAGAGTTATGGATATAAGAATGTGTCGCAGCCCTATTTTTACGAAGAATGTTTGTATAGTGAGATTGGTAAATGATTTAGAGCTAAAGGCCACACTGATGGGAGCTTTCAGTGTTGTCGATGAAAGTGGAAAGTCTTGTTCATCAGAGCATTTAAGAGAGTAACAGCCTTCTAAACCACTCTCCAGGACAGACCAAAATAACACACTTATATACAATACAATGTCTAGGGCTACAAAAATGAAACCTGTGACCTGGAAAGTCACTAACAATTTCCAACATCACCTTGAATCCAGTGGCCACATTTCTGTGAATGCAGCTCCATCAGACTTTTATGCCTTGGATCTGTTGAAATGTGGTCTTGGAAGCTGACTAGTGGAGGATCCTGTGGAAAGTTTATCAAGATGTGTGGTCTAAGATAAGCCTTGCAATTCAACGTAGAAGCTTGCTCCAATATATATTGGATGTAGTAGTTGCAAGGCAGTGTGGGACATGGAACCTCATTCTTATAAGATATGATTAACCCTAGGAACTGCCTTTTTGTTAATGCCAGTTGTACACTACAAGTCTATAAGTGCATCAAAAGTTGGGGTTAATGATCAAGAAAATAACATGAAATTAGTTTTTATTATGTATTTAAATAAGAACTCACTTTTTTATGTATTTTGAAAATCAAGTAGTGGCCAGTAGGCTATTTGTTTGGAGTTTGACATAATCCAGCTCACAACAGAATAATTTATATCCAGTTTACAGTTGTAAGTGGAGCACACAAGTCACTAACTTGAGGAATTTACAGTTAGACTAAAGAATTGACTCTGAGACTGAGATTCAAAAATCCATTTCAATCTTTAATACGGTAATTCTGAATATTCATTTACATTAACATTGGTAAAAGTATCTCATCGATAAGCTTGTTAACCAGTTTTTCTACAATACTCACTAAATCACTCACTATAATCAGCAGATTATCTATTAAAACGTTAATAGACATATACTCAGATTTACTGTACTTTATGAACTCTCCTTAATATTATATATTATACATCAAATCCTAACCACGTTATTTGATTTGAGAGAGAGATAGCAATATTTGCTTACATGGAGCCCGAGCAAGACATAGTTTCTGGTCCTTGCAAAGAAGACATTGCCATAGCAGTTCCAATCTTCAACATAGTCAGTTCAGCAGCAGGTTGATGGCTTTTCTTCAAGAAGTAGGAAACTTCAAGATTTCAGTAGAAAAACTGACCAATGGCTTCTTATTACAAGCCAGGAGACTGACTTGCAGTCCAAAAACATGGGTTCTTATACCAGTTCTTTTGGTATCCTTTACGACTTTCCAAATGGTGTACACATCTAATTCACAAGTAATTTCTGCAGATGCTCGTCGTAATTCTTGGAACTAAAAACAGAAATGCTCGATTAAGATGGTAAATTGGCAGCCTCTTTATGTGTATTTTTCTTCGTCTTCTTCACATCAAAGTTCTGCCCAGAGTCTCTGATTTCCTTACTATTTTCTTTATGAAATTCATGTCCAGTCTGTAATGAAGTTTATATTAACATTATCGTGCCCTTTTCTCTGCTACGATAACATCAATTTGAGGATAATATAAACACTTATTTCTCAATACCGATTAAAATGCATCTTTGGTTTATATTTGACATACTTTTCCTATCATGGTAAAGCATCTCCAGTGCATTAGCCAATTATGTAAAACATTTCGTCATACTGTGTGCTGTGTGTGATCATTTTTTATGACATATTTCTCGCTCCTTGAAGCTGTATGTAAAACACAAGTACAATGAAGAACTATTTTAATTTACATTTACATTTATTCGTGTCAGTTGACTGATCATTGAGAAACATTGCTCTAGTATATAGACTTTAATATAGGATACTTTCACTTGTATACATTACAAACGTAATTGAACTAACTAGATGAACAACTGAGTGGAATTCATTGTATCTCTACGTTAGAGATCCATCAATGTTGATGTGCTTTACATCTACAGTAGATTTCACATTTCTAACCACAACTTTTACATACAAACATATTTTCTGTTAGCTTCTGATATCGGCCTTTAGTTTTCTTATTTTGTTCTATATAGTTGTTGTCAATTTTATTCTCATCTTTTAGTTCTGCCCCTATTCTCACCAATTATTATATTCTTCTCACCCTTTAGTTCTGCCCCTATTCTCACCAACTATTATATTCTTCTCACCCTTTAGTTCTGCCCCTATTCTCACCAATTATTATATTCTTCTCACCCTTTAGTTCTGCCCCTATTCTCACCAATTATTGTATTCTTCTCATCCTTTAGTTCATCCCCTATTCTCACCAACTATTATATTCTTCTCACCCTTCAGTTCTGCCCCTATTCTCGCCAATTATTATATTCTTCTCATCCTTTAGTTCTGCCCCTATTCTCACCAACTATTGTATTCTTCTCACCCTTTAGTTCTACCCCTAATTCTTACCAACTATTGTATTCTTCTCACCCTTTAGTAAGGAAAACAAGAAACACAACTCAAACTACTGGTGTGTCTACAAAAAGTAATTAAAACAAGAAACACAACTTGAGCAGAGAGTTAACTCAAACTACTTGTACATCTATAAAAAGTATGGAAAACAAGAAACACTACTTGGGCAGAGAGTTAACTCAAACTACTGGTACGTCTAGAAGAAGTAAGGAGAATAAGAAACACAACTTGGCCAGAGAGTTAACTCAAACTACTGGTACGTGTAGAAAAAGTAAGGAAAACAAGAAACACAAATTTGTCAGAGAGTTAACTCAAACTACTGGTGTGTCTACAAAAAGTAATTAAACAAGAAACACAACTTGGCCAGAGAGTTAAACTACTGGTACGTCTAGAAGAAGTAAGGAGAATAAGAAACACAACTTGGCCAGAGAGTTAACTAAAAGTACTGGTACATCTACAAAAAGTAAGGAAAACAAGAAACACAACTTGGGCAGAGAATTAACTCAAACTACTGGTACATCTAGTAAAAGTAAGAAAAACAAGAAACACAACTTGGGCAGAGAGTTAACTCAAACTACTTGTACATCTATAAAAAGTAAGAAAAACGAGAAATGCAACTTGGCCAAAGAGTTAACTAAAAGTACTGGTATGTCTAGAAAAAGTAATTAAAACAAGAAACAGAACTTAGCCAGAGAGTTAACTCAAACTACTGGCACATCTAGAAGAAGTAACAAAAATAAGAAACACAACTTGGCCAGAAGTATTGGTGTATTTAGGACAAATAAGCAAAAGAAGTAACACAACATATTTTATAGCATGTTAAACAAGTAAAACAAAATATTGTAAAATATATGTGTAATCTAGCAGAGTTACATGGGCTTCAAAAGTAATGCTATAATTGGAATAATGGGCCACCCCTTCAATCATTTTCAGTCATACCACATGAACCACTTCTTTGATGTAAAGGTTTCTGTTGTATTTCATTCAATGCCACCTTGGTTTGGCATTGTCTTCATGTATTTTGCTACTGAATTTCTTGCTTAATTGAGTGAGATGAAAGTATTAAATTTAAGATCCAACAGTTTATTATCCATTTAAACTAAATCTTTGGGGACTATACACAAGTTCTTTGGGGACTATACACAAGTTCTTAGTTGGACTATACACAAGTTCTTCTACCATGAAATGGAAGTTGATTCAACTGATCTCTCACATGTTCTAGCTTTCAGAGATATCTAGTCTTCTTCCTGTGGGTGAAGAGAAGTGTAATTATCTGTAGTTTCAGTAAATTATGAACTAATGAACTTAAGACATTGAACTCTTATATTGTAGGGACATAAAGGTAAAATATTATGTTTAAAGCTGAAGCATTTAAGGTAAGAATAATCTAAATGTTTAATACACTAAGTGGGAAAATAAGTATAAACTAAAGTTTTAAAATGTCGTTAAAGCTTGTAAAATTACCTGTTAAGAAAATATGTTTAAAAAATTGTGAAGTAGGGGTTAAAAGTCTTAATATATATATTTCAGATAACTCAAGGTTCATTTTAGTGCAGTAATTAAAAACAAGTTTTGTTTAGGGTGTTTACTTGTTTTATTCATACCATATATGAAGTTCTATGTTTTTTGCTCTTTGTCAGTCTGAATGTATTGGCTAGAGGGTGTAATATGAAATGAAAAGGGAAATTTTTGAGGAAATTTCATCCATTGCTTCTAGGAATTTGAATAATATAAAAGTAATTAAGTAAGGTTTAATTAAAAATGAAGATTTTAAGAGTTAAAAAGAGAGTAAACAAGTCGAAGGACATATAACCAGTCAACAAGTCGAAGGAGATGCCTGTGTATTATAAAAAATAAGCCTTGAGAGATAAGTAATCAAGAACGAGGTTAGAACTTCAGTAAGTAATAGCACAGCACGTGCATAAACTTTGAAACAAGCATAGGAGTTTAGTGACCGAAGGTCACTGTAGAGACAGTTAACAACCTCTTTAGTTATCACTGTGTTCTAAACATGTTTTG